GCTTATATATGCATATTTTAAATCAGCGCGCCCCATTCTAAGGTTTTTTTAAAAAAAACCAAGAAACGTAGACTCTTGGTATTCATTACACATAAACTAGCGAGCCCCAGAATGAGAAACAAATTTTAATCATTATTATTGACGGATTAGTAAACTTTTTACACGCTTTGGAAAATCTCAAAAGTTCGCGCCAGTCACTTTTCGGTAAGGCACTAGGGGACTCGGTTATTGTATCGAGGGGGGGGTCGAAACGATCGCAAAGGCGGTATACTACGTATACGCGCCAAAACGGACAATTAACGAAACTAAGGGGGAGGGGGTCCCTTGTTTACGCCACTGTCTTCTTAGAAATAATTCCAAAATTTGTTCAGCTTCTAAATTCCTCAGATTGACGATATAACTAATAAACTTCTTACATCACTTTGCTACAACGTATATTTTCTGTCACGAATTGTACTTCCTTGAGAGATGATTTTACGGGATTACTGATCATCATTCCTATTACACGGAGGTTTGTGTGATTTGTTTTTACTTTTCAAGAGTAGTCTCTGAACATTTTGTACAAGAATGTCTGAGATTTTCTAATAAAAAATAATTTATGAGCAGAGATATTGAAACATCAGAACCAAAAGTTACTCATTTTCGTGCTTTCCATGCCAATATATGTGATAACTGATCGATTAAGAATTAATTAACTCATAACGAGGCATTTCCAAAAATTCAATCCTGCACCAATTTTCCCCATTATAAATTTGAGGAGATCGCGATTGAGGAATCCGAATTTCGCGGAAAAACAGGATGCGAGGTTTTTATTCGGAATATATAAGTTTTCCATCTTCTATCCCTTCAATTCCTCTTCACTCTTCTTTCCCCCTCTCCACCTTCCTCTCTCTCAACAATGTTTCAAAGATATTCATCATTTCTATTATATAGAAAAGCTGCCAGATTCTACCTGCTAGTCAGGTTCACAACAGGTAAAAAAATATGTTGATTAGCTATATAGGGTGATTAGCTGGAGTATTACAACGTTAGGGCGTATTTTAAGGAAATTATTGGGCGAAGTAAAATAAGTACCTATTAATGGTAAAAAGTGAAATGAAAAAAATCCATACATTGTTCATAAATTATTCATTATTGTTTTGCTTTTTACATTGACGCCTGAACCATACAGAGACTGATGACGAAAATAAACATATACATTAAAATAATGTTCCTTAGTAGTCTCCAATGTACCAACCTAGGTATGCGATCATTGTACTGAATACATAGTACAGTTTGTAATTTGAATAATAATAGGTATAAAACATGTAAATTATTGGAAACTTAAATGTACCGAATCTAAATCCTGCATTAGAAAAAATAATTTCTCAGTTCAGCGCCAGTTATTCGGCAGTTTACTTCTCTCGCACATCTAAATACCGAATGTACAATTTACTCAAAATTTCTTACTCAAAACACAGAGGATCGTAATTGCATCATAACGTACAAACTGGATACGTAATCGGTTTAAAAAATATCAAAACTTCTGCTCTGAACTTCAAAGTTGCAATGGACACGTGCGCAGGAGGAAAATTAGGTACCGACCTATGCGCTCGAGTCAAAGGCACAAGCATAATTTCCTAGTTCAGACGACTGTCACGGAAGTAGGAGCCTCACACATTAAAAAAGTAGACATTAAGAGAAAATATTCCAGAGTTCCATTTTCCATTTTCACCAAGGTTGAACTATTAGTCATATAATCTAGGCGTCGAGTTATCAAAAATTGATCAATACATAAATAATTCACAGAATCATTCAAAACGACATATTTAAAGCTTACAACAAATAATTCACTGTTTTTTTTCGTGTTCTGAGAGACAAAAAACTATCGATGCGGATGAAATGCCAAAAAAAAGCAAAAAAAAATGTCGCAATTACTCTTACACTCATTATTGAAATCAAACGGAAACATGTTGATACTTATTGTTAGAATTGAACGTAGACTTGATTAAGGTACGTGCAAATTGGCCCTCAACAATAATGGCTGGTTACAACATGTTCATTTGCAAACATTGTAAAAGATAGGGCCAAAATGTCTTAAAGTGGAAAAAACAATTAATACTGAAGTAACTTTACGGCGATTTTGATTATTCTGCAACTTAAGAATGTTCGATGGAATAAAGGTTCGATTAAGTAGATTAAAAATAGATTATTTAAACTTAACAATACTTGAAAAAAATTATTTTAGATCACCCACTTTTATGAAATTTGTACAGGAGGCGAACAAAGAAGGTTTCAACATACTTAATCTAAACATTATATCACAATCAGGAGGAAACAGGTGTTACACCGATTGAAACAATCTTTCAGGACCAAGACTTGCTGAAGGAAACCTGCCATTCATCAAAAATTCTGCCGATCATTTCATACTCCACAAAATACGAAACATTCCTTTGATATTGACCAAACTGGCTGCTGAGGTTAATTTAATCACTGCAACACTGATTTCCGCCCAATAATAAAGAAAAAAAAAAACAAATCTCTCTTTTTCTGATACAAAATGAGGAATAACTTACTTTGAACAGGTGAGAGTGGAAAAATTATAACGATGATAAATGGTTACATCTTGTAAAAATAACAATTAGGTATGTGAAAGACATAGGGTACATCGATTTATTCATTGAGACAACACGTGCGTACGATGGCTTCAGAGACAGCATAAGGATCACAGTTAGAGGACGGTCTGCGGTCCTCCAAGTATCCTTTCCCTTCTTCGGCACAGCCTCTTGGAATTCGGATGCTGGCACCTCGGTTAGCCACACCTGGAAACAATGCAAACAAACCGTTTTCAACATTATGTTACGAATAAAATTGAGGCAGAGGAACTTCAAAAATCGGTACAGCTAAGAATAAGTCGAGTGATCAAGACCAAAATGCGGCGAGCAACTATTACTGCTCCCAAGCAGCTCATATTGCCTACCGAGATATTGAAGGCGAACTGGTCGGAGCGAGTGAGTGGTACATTAATCCGCTGATGTCACGAATGATGCAGCGGCCGCATTTTGCCGGTCCTCCCACTGTGCTTAAATACGGGGTGTCCAAAAGTTTACGTCACGGAAAAAATTAAATTACTGATTTAACAATTCAATTGCTAAAAAAAAAAGAGTCCAATATTTCAGCGTAGATTTCACAACACAAAAATGCTACTTTAACCACTCCCGTGGTTAAATTAGCTTACAATAGTGGTTAAAGTAGCATTTTTGTATTGTGAAATCTACGTTGAAATATTGCAGTCACTTTTTTTTAGCAATTGAATTGTTAAATCAGCAATTTAATTTTTTCCGTGTAACTTTCAGGATCGAATTTTCGGCTCAAAATATGGCTTTTTTCCCTTTTGAGCCATCCTGACATTTTGAACGAAAAACATCAATCATAAAAGTTAAGAGCCTGTTTCAAACATTTTCCGGGCGAAGACCCTGGGCCCCCCTTTCTTTCTCGGGGAGAGTCCTCTAGACTTCTCTTAAAGGAGCCCCCGAATCATGGCCGCCTCCAAAATTTGTCGATGTCAGCCCGCCTCTAGGCGACGCACGCTTACAAAAGTGTGTAATAATAGAAAATATGGATGCATTAGGTAAAATAGATGCTTTTACAAAAAAACATGTTTTCCGGATCATTCCTTCAGAATGGGACAAAAAAATAACAATGATTAAAAGAGAGAAAGTAACGATTTTTACCTGATGAGAAATCGTGAATTGAAGATGTTTCGTGCTTTCCGGTGAGCCGTCTAGCGTTATCAGCTCCCTTCTTGGGGTCATAGGCCTGGATGTGTCGATCATGGTGTTTTGAAAGCTTCGTGATAGCATTTTGAATTTCACTGGAACAAAACCAAGATTCTTGTAAAAGCAAACTCAAACTCTACATCCATAAATATCGTGGTCTCCTAATGAATACCCATCAGCAACATGATGTTCATCAGAGGGAAGTCATGAGCAAATAAATAGAGCGATACAAAATATCACAATCGAACCCACATCCCTGCAGGAAAGACCTCACGATTTCCATCGTAACGTCGATAATTAAAGATATTCGGGTTGAAAAATGCTATAATGATGATTTGTAAGCAGATTCTTTCAGAAATTCTCTACAGAATTTTTAAATTTGTTTAACCGGCTAAATACTCGACGTGTCTTATAAATGGTCGAAATGAGGTACCGATTGCCTGTATTTCTTCTAACGAATTTCTTCTAACTTGAATTCTAAAAGATCCCCTTGCGTTTTGGATCATTCTTGACGAAAAAGGCAATAGGGCTACATTTCGTAGGATGAAATCGACATTTCTGGCTCATTTTTGAAAAAAAAAAAAACATACAGAAGGGTCTCGATTATCCGCGGTAATTGATACCAGAGCTATCGCGGATAATCAAGACCCCTCTGTATGGTCC